CCCCCTAACCATCATTCAACTTTTTTGGGAAATTCAAGAAACCTGCAATTTGATAATCGGGTTTTCCCGCAATAAGCTAAACGATCATACAGATTAGAAAAATCTACAGATAAAAATCAACAATACTTCTAAATGCAATAAAATAAAATGCATGTAGCTTTTACTAAAGTATATTCCACTGCGTACCCTAATTCCCCACCCATAAGACCCTATAACTATCGTTTTCTTAGGAAAACATGCAGGGAGTAGGGATCAATGAGTGGGCCTACATAAGCTTCTGTTGCCATTTTAACCAACAGGGGTTCAACGATGTTGGAAAACTTTCACCTTAACAAAACTTAACTGAACTTCGCACAAAACCATTGAAACGCACGGGCCGTCCGCCTTGCATCCACGCAGGTTATAGTGTGATGAAGAAACGACCTTTCCTCTTCCCGTCGATTTCGTACTTTAGTAACAGCAAGCCTGGCTGTAAAAGTCCAGTCTTATTCCTCACAGTTATCAGCTGTTTGTTTTTCACAGCAAATTTGCATAATCCAATCAGAGATGAGTCTTCCTGCATCAGGAAAAATCTGCTCCCCATGTTTAAAGTGGCTGCGGTTCGTTTTTTTATTGCCGGGAATATAGGAAGCTTGCAGAACTTTACCTGGATACCAGCATGTCTGAAGTTGTCAAACTCTCCGAGGGGAGATTCCGTAAGGCCTATATCCCTCCACGCCTAATACTTCACCTCCGTCTTACGTTAGGGAATGAATTGACCTCGTGCATTTGAGATTGAGCCTTCATGAAGAGTGATTTGCGATGCTAATTATCAATGTACACCCTATCGCCATTTGTCCTGTCTTGTAGATGTGCTGTTTCACTGCCAGACCTATTGTAATGCGTGAGCTGCTCCGAGCCTTCTTCCTCATCAAGGATCCATCGCAGATCATGCCCGCCTGCTTACTGACCGCGGGTCTTCTCTTGCTTACCCTTTGCGCTACAACGCTGAAACACTCATTATGGTGGCACAGCGCATGTGCTGGTATTCGCCTGAGACTGGCCATGTCAGGCCTCATCTTCGATAAGGTACGTGCTTGCGCAGAAACCTTGAGATAGGGACACCCGGCTGATATGTGCTCTTTTTCCCCGAAACCAAGTTAGATATGCAGTTTGTACCATGACTGGCCACTGTAGAAGACGGGGAACTCACTAAAATTGCGTCTCCAATTTGAGAGAACGCCTAAGTGGGGAAGTTCAATGACTTGAAAAGGTTGTATATCTGTAAAGAAGAGGAAGACGCGATCTCTGGAACGATAGTTTTATTCTGAGCTTTCGGCTACACAACCAAGCGTCAGCTACGCATAAATAGGGTTAGTAGGGGAAGGGGGGGGGTGGGGGGTGGAAATTATCGATTGGTCCCTGTCCACGCCACGTCCATTCTCACGCTATCTTATC